GAAAATTCTTTAATGCTGAGAAAGTGATATATGTAAATTACTTGCACCCTATGAATTCTAGGGATCAGATATATTAACAAAATTTACATTTTCTTAATCAAATACTTTTTTATCTCAAGTTCTGGCATGGAGCACTTTTTTTCTTTTTCTTTGATTGTTATCTTCATCTTTGTTGTTTAAAACACATTTTGGTGAATATATGAAGGTAAGTCAAAAATTATCTTCACTTTCACCATAGCATACCTTTAAACAAGAGTGTGGATAATTTTAGACTTTTCTTCATATTTGTTGGCCTTCCTCAGGTGTGTGAAAAGTTGTTGGGAATAAGATTTATTTGATTACACTTATCTACAAAGATTTACTTTTAGAAATGCTTTTTTGCTATCCTAATTATCTCCCTTCCATTGGTAACACCCGTTAGCATTTTCTATGAAGTCAGACCAATTTTGTAAAAGAGCAGAGTAAAACAATAAGTGGAAAAAAGACTTGCATTGAGTACTTTATAATAGTAAGGACTTAGTTTATTTCTTGAAGTTCTATGAAGTTGATAAACATAACACACACACACACACATATATATATATATATATATATATATATATATATATAGCACTTATCTAAGCCGGTATGTTTCATCCTCTGATGGACTTTATCAAGGAAAATGCCAAGAATTTTATTTTGTAAATATTTATACACAAGTAAAAAAAATGTAAATTTTTCTTAATTTTTTAAAGTTAAGAATGCACATAAAATTTTTAAAATTCTATAAAGCTAACATTCTTACCTGTCTAAACATTTGTTGCAAAATAAAATCCTTGCATTTGCTGTGATAAAGTCCATCAAAGGACAAGACATGTTGTCTAACATAAATTTGTCTTTATTCATTGTCTTTTGGCAGATATATTTTCAGTGATATCTGAATTTTTACATACACACGTGTATATATATATATATATATATATATATATATATAGCTCTCCAGTGTCAATAGATACAGCAAATGACACTACTGACTGGTTTATTAAGTAATTTGGGAGAGTGGTTTCTGCAACTCTTTATTCCACTCACCTACTCCTGTCCAATTAACCATCAGTGTGTGTGTGTGTGTGGATATACACATTTTACCAATAGATTTAGAAAGATTTGAAACTTCAGTGATTGATTTTTTTTTTCTATTGTTGGAATGTTTCTAGAAAATCCACTTGGTTTTTTGCTATAGACTTTTTTTTTTTTTTGTTGAAATGGGCTAATTTGATGTCCAGGCTGGTGGATTAAAAAAAAAAAATTGCTTGTAATGTTTGCAGTCAGGGACTACTCCTTGATTGCAAACATAGTCGGAAGCTATGTGGGATTCATTTATTAGTCTAGGTTGGTTGGGCATAAAAGTTCTACATTAATGGTTAGCCGTGACTTGGCAATTGTTAATATCTTGGACATTGACTACAGAAAACTATTAAGTGTTTCAAGTAAATCATCTTTTCACTAACAAAAAGAAAATTCATTCTGTAGACTAACAAAAAAAACTGGGCAAATTTTGTATGTCTTTTTAAAATTCAGTTGATTTAATTTATAAGAAAGCTTAGTGACACAAGGCTACAAAACTGTTTCAATGACTTGTAAAGCATTGCACCAAGACAGGTGGCCCATTGATCAGCTGTATTTATTTTTAAGAAATCACTTTTTTTCATTTAATTGAAATTTACACCTGTCTGTGATCTATTAATTTATTGCAATTGATGCACTGTCTGCATTGACCCCCCCCCCACCTTTCACTCTCAACAATTTGTGCCTAACTTGTCAATGCAAGTCTTTTGTTTCTAAATATCTGCAACAAGAGTTGCTAATTTTCACCTTGTTACTTTATTTTAGACCAGCAGATAATTACTTTTTGGCGGGGCGGGATCAGGCTCTTATTTGTTCAACACACTTTCAGTGAAGAATTTGATTTTGGTTGGGAAAAAAAAAAAAAAAACCTCATGAAAACAAATCTCCATCTTAGGATTATATTTTAATTTTCAGTGAATTAAAGTAGTATTTTATTACCAATGGTGAAATTATAAAAGAAAGAAAAAGTAATGGTTTTATGTCAAAATTATGTAAAATTTGTATATAGTTTCATTTGGATTCAAACATTTTTTTTATAGTGGAAAAGCTCTATTTAATCTATATTTGTTGAACCCGGTTTTCAATTTAATCAAATAACAATTAAGGTAATTTTTTTTTTTTCCCGAACTTGATATATTAAGTTGGTTTTAACATTGTAGTGAAAATTCTTTTGTTTCATAGTAATTTCCCATCTTTCTCTACATTAAAATTGTTTTTTAAAAAAAAAAAAAAAAGTTTATTTTCACTACTTATGTGCAACTATAACTACTATAGGACATAAGTGTGTGTACATATATGAGCAGTACTATTAATGTACTAATGACCAGTTTCAAGAGGAAAAAAAAAATTGTTTTAACCTTTTATTAATGTTTAATTTTGAAGTCTCAACAGATTGATAAGCAAGTTTAATCCCCCCCCATTAAGGCAAATTATTTTATTTTTGAAATCCACACAATCTGATATCACTTGTTATGGATGCACTACATTTATATATGTGCAGGAATTGTATAAAACTCAATTGTTCATTGTAAAATGTTAGCGCCAAGTAAAAATTGTTATCCACTTGATTCTACAGCCAAGTGTCTGCTTTTCTTTTTTTTTCCCCCCCTTTTAACAGTTATTTTTCAGAGTGAGGTCTAAATATACCGGCTTGAATGTTGATAAAAGATACAAACTGATTTTACTAAATCAAGAGTGGTACCTATTCTGCAAGAAACAGTCAACAGCTAGTTCAATACTATATTAGGAATACTTGTTAATGGAACAATTTATGGTAAAGCTATACCTTTACAAAAAAAAAAAGTCTCGTCTAATCTTTGTATGAAAGAAAATAGAATAGCATGTACATTTTTTTTTTTAATGAACTTCCATTGTGGGTAGAGGGATTTAAATATTTGGGTATTCATATTAGAGAAAGAAAAAGAACATCAAAATTAGGCAAATAAACTTTTATTCTTTTTGTTATACAGGAAAGCAAAGTTAAATAGTGGTGGTTACATATTGTTCATATTGCAGAGGGGGGGGCAGCAGTGGCACATGCATCACATACAGCCATCTTGGTAGTTGGGACATCCTCACTGAGACTTTCTTACATTGAGTCAGACGAAAGAAGGAAATATTAAAAGAAATTGTTGCATCCAACCCTTAACAATTTTTTACAGATACCTAAATGCCTAAAAATACACAATAAATAGGTTAGTAACATGCAAATGAAAAGCAGAAGAGAGAGGGAGGGGGCAGGCTGAAGACTTAAGTCTCAGGAGGGAGGTTACTTGCAGGAGAGGAAAAATAAAATAGAACTAAGTTGATTTGCATTACTACGTACAGAGCATATAAGCCAAAGGAAGCCAAGGTTGAAAGGGCAGAGAAAGTTAACATTACAACTAGACTTATGTAACCAAAGAATCTTGGCCCCGTTTTTCACAACCTTACATCATGGTTGATGGCTTTTCTTTTAGATTAAATCATTTTTTTTTTTTTTTAAATCAAAACTACTTACTGTAAAAGTGTTAGGAATCTTGTTCTCACTAGCTTTAGATGTGCTTTAATTTATAATTTTAAGTGATACTAAAAGTGTGTAGAATCAAGAAATATAACCAAGCTGTTGTAGCAAGGTCACCATTTTTTTTTTTTTTTTTTTTTTTATCACAGATGGTCGTCAAAACACACTTTAAGTAGCAGATATATGTAAACAATCAATGAAGCACATTGTTGCCTTCCTTTGTTCACATGCCAAATAAAAGATGCTAACCTCTACTTAAAGTTTGATAAAAGAAAGGAGAAGCAAGCTGTATTGGAAGCCAACTATTGCTGCAATTTTTTTAATTGTCCTACATGATCAAGGAATATAGATCAATCAACTCCTGCCCCTCCAACCATAAAAAAAAAAAAAAAAAAATCAAATCTATTAGTTATGCCCAAAATATCAGCACAAACAGAATTTTTTGTAACTTGTTTCATTTACTTATCTCAAGGTGAAAAGAAGAAAAAGACTGCCTTTTTGGTCCAAAACAAAGGATTGTTGCATCCTATCAGCATTCAGGAAATTACTGAATTATTATAAGAGGCTATTCATTTTACAAGTTAGTAATTTGCATTTCTCAGAGTTGAATGCACTTAAGTAGTACTTTTTTATTTAAAAGAACCTCCCCCCCTGACAGAATTGGTAGCTGAAATCTTACAAACAATAAAAAGGTTTGTCCAAATTAGATTGCAGAATAATACACTATCACCTCCTTGAAGGAGTAGGTGATGAAAGCAGACATTATCACTTTCTGTTACATTCATGTGGGCAGGCAGCTGATCGTTCCTTTGAGAAACAGGAGTTTTTTTTTTTTTTACATTAATAAACCAATAGCAATCCAACTTTGGTGTCTGTACAGACACAACACAGGTGAAAACTTGTTAACTTTTAGAGAAAGACAACCAGTTGAGGATTGTAGAAACACTTTCAGACCCACAGAAGGCACTCAAATAGTGATAAGTTGTAAACCAGAGGAACTAGTCATCAAAATGATTTAGTTTTTTTTTTCTGATACAGACTATATATATATATATATATAGTTTGAATGGAAGTTCTTTTGTTTTGAAAGTACCAGCATACAGCATAATGAACTGTTTTGTCAGGTTTTAGAAGCACTTTGTTGGCTATGCAATACATTGACAAGGCAGCAGGTGCTGACCACAGGTGAGGAAGCATAGTGGGTACAAGGACCTTACAGCTCTGCCCCATAACTGTTGCTGCTGATGCTAGTAGACTTGTTATTACTCAGGCCATATTCACTGGTTAGCCCTGACACTGGAAGTTGGGGGATTGGGGTAAAAAAAAATAAAAATAAAAGTTCAAATTTTTTAAAAGAAAACAACCACAGAGCAGGAGCAGTGATGGTTAGAGATTACCGAAGGGGAATTGACATTGACCCCATAAATGAAGAATCCTCTTCACGCTCAGCAGCATGGGTCTTAAGTTCTTGCAGAGTGTGTCGAAAGCGAGACCATTCATCACTTTTAGGATTAGCAATATGCTGAAATAGAAAGACTTAAAATTTAAGTAATAAAAATAAGTGAAAAGACATTAAAAAATCTGCCAAATTGTAAATTAGTGAAAGGAAATTAAAGATTTTAAATCTGCATAAACAACATTTCTAAAATGTAGTGGAATTCTTTTTGTCAAGAAAGCACACAGTGGGTCTAAAAAAAAAAAAAAAAAAAAAAAAAAACAACATTTAAATGGTGTTTCTTATTTGGTTCCTAACAAACCCCCCAAAGTCTACCCAACATTGATAAAAAAATAATCTGGAGAGCCCTGAAAGTTTATTGCATTTGGGCCTGAAATATCTATTGAGAAGATTTGTTACTGTGTATGAATCAATTGTTTTTTTTTAATTTTAGATTATTCTAAATTAAGTCAAACAAATTTGGGATTATTAGCAAATTGTAGAATCTATTGGATAGACTAATAAAAAAAACACCAGCTTTAACATGAACTGCAATTTTCATGAAATGGTCAAAACAAACCTCAGGTGCATGCTAAGTGAAGAAGCTAATGACATACAAGCAGTGCCAAAGCATAATTAAAAATTCCACTACAACCTGTGTACAATGGCAAAAATTAAATGTAAATTAAAAGGTACACTTCAAAATATGTTTTAAACCCTATCTTTAGGGAAGTTTTTTTTTTCTATAGAAAATTCCTTATTAAAGTTATGCAAGATATTTTCAAATGAAAATTTTCCAAAATGCTAAGTAGAAGCAGCACAAAACCTGCTGAAATGGAGATAAGATTTTTTTTTTTTTAAATGTGTGGATTTAATGCACCATTTCAAGTCAACACATTTTTCATGATTATCTTAAATTTTTATAATATTCAGCTGGTAATTAATAAAATTGCCTCTTCATGTCTCTTTATTTATCAATCATTCATGAGTGAGCATCTGTTACATATTTCACATATGGCTTGTGAGTTTCAAAATGTCCCCAACAGAAGTAGCATGCTCACAAAATGATAAATTGGTAATTCAATGAACCAAAGGTTTTGAATTGTTGCAGATATTGAAAAAAATTCAAAAAGATACTCTACTGAAAGACAATTTTTGATTTTGCAATAGAGTATAAATATAGTCCTACTGCCCACCTTTAAATTTGGTCTATGTCCTCAGTGTTGAAAGTACTCCATACACAACCAGTGATAATAGTTAAATAAAATAATAAGTCCAACAGATTACTCCAAACAAATTTCTACTCTACTATATTGTTAATATATTGTTAAGAATGTGATAACATTTAAATATTCAGAAAGTGTATATTTATTGTGTATTTTATGCTAAATATCAATTAATGGATTTTCAAGTTTATATATATAAAAATTGTTACTTCATTTTATTCTATTTTTAACACTAATCACAAAATTCCAATTGATTTTCTGCTAAACACTTGACAATACATTTCAATCTGTTATTATTCCATTTTATATTTTGTTGTTAAAAGATTTGTTTAAGAATACAGAAATAAGCTCGGCAAATTGAATATTTAACATTAATGTAACCATTTGCTTTTGGTATTTAAATGTAACATTAACAGACAAATTTGAAATATATTTAAAGATTATAATTGGCATTTCTAATGTCAAGTAATATGAGACATCCAATAAGTCAACAGATTTATCTGCTCTTTTAAACTTTAAAGATTGTCAAAAGAACTTTTATTAATATGTAGAAAGTCGTTACTAATTATTACATTATAGTAGCTGATTTTGAAGTAATTCTAATTATGCATAATTTTATGTAATTTAGTACATATCTGCCTTTTGATGTAACCAACTTTAACAAAAATGACTGAATTAATAGATAAAATAATTAAATTGAAGCCAATTTTTGCGGATTTGATATCAGTATAAGGAAGGAATCAATATGTTCAAAGTAGAGTCTTTTAATACAGCAGAACATTCTGTAGTTATGCGAAATAATGGAAAAGAGATTTTAAATACAAAGCACTAACTCACCTCGCCAACATCACACATATGAATCCGTCCATTGTCATCACCAGCAGCAATGAGATGGCCACTCTGATGCCAGCTGCAGCGATTCAAAGCCACATTGTTATCCACAATAACAGTCGCAGATGGTACCTTTTAAAGAAACAGTTTCCAATTTTATCACAAGTGGATAATTATATCAAGATTAGAAACAAATTAACTGGACTTTTCCTTTCTTTTTTTTCCCCCATATTAATTGCCATTTTTAATTGTAATTTATGAATATCCCATCATTACTTTGAATACAATTTAATCAAATCTTAAAGAATATGAATATATTTTACTACATAGGCAGTCATGATCATGGGTTCCATAACTCCTTAGAGTCATAGGAGCACCACATGTACTATATGTAATTGTTGTAGCAGGGGTGTGTCTTGGGAAAGATAGTCTGATGGAGCCTAACTCTCACCAGGCTGTTTTGAATTCAAAATTTTCCTTCTACTAGGCTGGTTACCAACCAAGGCTATAAGATTGATTCTGTCTTGCTATTCAATCCATAGCTGGGAGTGGGGTGAGGAGAAGATATGGATTTATACTTTTCCCTAAGGTATTTGTGCATTAGTGAATGTAGCAAACTCTACTGGAGTTTGAACTCTGTTCTCTGATTTCAAGCTCGCTACAATTACACCACCACAAATCCACATAAGCTTGTGCCTTATTAGTTGGCAAAAAATAAAATTATTTTCATTTACTTAGATTTTGCACACACATAAGAAAGGAAATAAACTGACATTTTTACATTAATAAAAATTGTGACCATTTAAAAAGACAAGAAGAATAAGTAATATGTTTTTATTCATAATGAAAAGTTATGAATATTTAGAATAATTTACCTCTGTTTCATTGTTTAAGTGCCACAAGTCTAGCCTTCCCATTCCATCAACACTGGCAAAAAGTGCTGGATGGATTGGTGACCACTGTACATCATAGACATAATCACTGTTGTCTTCAAATGAATGGATGTATTTCAGGTCCTGAAAAATAAGACAAATCAAACTTTAAACAAAAAAAGTTTCAATCAAATCAAGAGAAATAGAAAAATTAGACCTAAACGGATTGGGGAGGCTAAAAATATTTTATTTGACTTGACTATTCAATGAGGATAAAATCATTCGCTCTTGTATTTGTAAATAAACCTTAATGTTTCGTAGTAAGGTAGAATAATTGTTATGATTGAAAGTTGAATTCCGATGTGTGACTGCATTAACTATGTTTTCTTGTTTCTCTGAGTTCGGAGAAAAATTTCACAGTTACATTAATTGAACAATAAAATAAACATTGTCAATTTATTTTAATTTAGCTTCCAACTTGAATATTACAAACTGCATTCAATTAAAAGAGGCCTTAGTGGTTGATGACCCAAATCTTGTCCAAAATATTTCATACTAAATATTAGTGATGAGTTGAGCTAAAGCAAAATGAACTTGCAAGAAATCTTTTGCTTTTCTCTCTTAATTTATAGCTCCTTGTTCTTCTAGTATAAGCTGAACAGTTTCTCGCTTTTACATTAATAAAAAAAAAATGGAAAGAAACCAATTAGATTTAAAGGAATTCCCTTAATTCATTAAGAAAACGTTTTTTTCTTCTCTCTCTCTCTCCTTCTTGTGTTCTTTCATTTCTTTTCCCTATTAGCCAGCTCAAAAAAAAAACCTTTTTATTCAGTGTTCCATCTTCTCTTCTCACTAAGTTCTTGGAGTTCTTTCTTATTTTTTTGTTTCTCTTTTCAGCTTTTCTCTAAGGAAATGTTTTTCTTTCTCCAATGGTTCAAGTTGTCACTCTATAAAACTCAGCCAAACTAGTCTTGGATCAGTCATCTCGCTAGACTGTCTATCATTGAATCCCAACCAAACGTCCTGCTTTTATTGAAACAAAAGCAATAAATCTAATCATTCCACTGGCCAAAATGTCTTTACTCGGAAAATATCATTATCTGTTATAGTTGGTTTCAATTTTTTACTGGAAATGAGAGAATTTTATGTGACTTTTACTTTGAAAGCATATCTTTAACTATCAGGTCATCCCATAAGTTCTGTCAGAATTTTACCTTTTTTTAAAATGAACGAAATTTAAAGTATTTTATAATGTCTAATGGAGCTGAACATTGTTTTTATGTTTAGATGCATTTAAACTGATCAAATTTTATTTCGGAGAACAATAAAATTAAATTTTGTTTGATTAAAACCCTGCTAACATGGAAATACCCAAGAATCATTTGAGGCACATAATGCTTTATGAGTTCCAGAAAGGAAACTCAGCAGCCGAAGCGGCTAGAAAAATTCACTTAGTTTATGGAGAGGAATGTGTGAATGAAAGAACTTGCAGAAGATGATTTGAAAAATTCAGAGGCGGAGATTTCACCCTTGAAGATGAAGATCGAACCAGACGTCCAGTTGAGTTAGATGAAAAGCTTCTTGAAGCAGCCCTTGAAGAAAATCCTGCTTTATCAGTTGAGGAATTGGCAGTGGTTCTCAGTTCAAACCATACAACTGTTCATCGTCATCTTCAACAACTTGGAAAAGTTCCTAACCTTGGAAAATGGGTGCCTCATGAATTGTCTGAAAACAACCTCAAATCCAGAGTTGATATCTGCTTTTCTCTCCATTCTTGCCAACTTGTTTCACCTTTTTTGGATAGACTTGTGACTGGCGACGAAAAATGGATCTTTTATCGAAATGTTAAGCATCGTAGACAGTGGCTTGGTAAAGGGGAAGGACCCCAGCCACAGCCGAGAAGGGAACTTCATGGGCAAAAGGTTCTTTCAATCTGGTGGGATCACCAAGGAATAAATCCACTTTGAATTCTTACCACCTAATGCAACAATTAATGCTCAAATATACTGTCAGCAATTAGAGGAAAAAAAGACCTGCTCTAGTGAATTGAAAAGAGGTGATGTTTCATCAGGACAATGTGCGACCCCACACAGCAAGAATCACGTCACAAAAGATCGAAGAACTTGGTGGGGAGAAAATTCCTCATCCACCTTATTCTCCCAATCTTGCTCCTTCAGCCTACCATTTGTTTCGTAGCTTACAGTAAGCTTGTTAATAGATGGAAGGAACTAATAGATAATCAGGGAAAATACATTGTTGATTGAATCTGTAATTAAATTTGGTCACTCATTTTCTTTATTCAAAATTCGGACAGAACTTATGGGATGACCTGATATGTTAACAACACACTGTCACTTTCTTTATGGCTTAAGTTTATCTTAAATTTGAGATGGTATTAGATTAAGTGGAGTCATGGTACTGACAAAAAGTTTAAGAACTTTAGCCTTTATCAGCTTTAGTGTGGTGTCTGCACTGATAAGAGCACATTTTTATGTCACAAATGGCAAAAGAGATTCATTCAGCTAGCCTGGGGACCGAGTATTATTTGGTCACACTTCATTTGGACCTGTAAACCATAATTCTAGGTTCAAATGCATCCGCGTCGATTATTTCTCATGCAGCACTTGTATTATAACATGTTTCACATCAGTATATTAAGTGATTCCATAACATTAGAAAGGAACAAGATATCAAGTATCACTCATGTTCTCTAACATTGACAGCCTTATCATCAAACACTTAGACCAAGTAAAGTACTGAATGAATATTTCCAATCTAAGAAACTGTTTAGTATTAATATTAACCATTTACTGAGATTAGCATCTGAAATGATCAAATTGCTTTGATGTGTTGACATTATTGTAAGATAAAAGCAGAAATAAATGTAGCATCCAGAAGGAATAGTTATGAATTATAGTCTCATGAAAAAAAATACTCAATCAAGAGATTGCATTTAGGGAAATATAGAAAATCTTCAAAGAAATCTTAACATATCTAAGAGACAAGTTAAAAACTTTGCTTTGACTTACACTATTCTAAGAAGTCTGAAACATTCAGTCCATCATTTAACATGATCCCTCATATACTGATTATATATATATATATATATATATATATATATATATATATAAATAAATAAGTGATTGAATGGTACCAATATTTTTTTCCCTGATTCAGATATCTACAATGATTAGAATTCATTATTTTTAGGCCCTACAGTTGGTTTGAGAAACTTAATGAATAAAGTACATTTATTAATAAAACATTTAATAGAAAAATGAAAAAAAATTTTTTTTAAATTGGGTAAGAGTTTAAGCATTAAAGAGAATGATTTCTTTATTTAAATCACTTAAGTTAGCTACAATTGACATATTGCTTTACTTTGGTTATCATCAAAAATCTTAAAACCTTCTAAACTACACTTATAACTGGGGTCTGAAAATAAACATCGAATAAATTTATATTTTTCACTGTTGCATAAAAAAAATATTTCTAATTTTCTAAATTGTATAATTTGTAAAGATTTAACTAATAATGATTTGCTATTGATTGTAAAATAAAAAAGGATCTATTTTTTATTCACCTTTTTAAGTTTTAACAAGCAAAGGCAACATCTAAATATTACACAATCTCTTTAAAATTTTATAAGTGGCATTTTTCAATGAATGGAACAAATTTAGGGGTGACAATTCAATTTCAGCATGTTTTTCAAAACCCCAAATATATATATATATATATATATATATATATATATATATTTAGTTGGATAGATGTGAGTTTGTGACCCTGGGTTTCATATTTTAGCGATATCGAACAAACTGATTACTGTTTTATAAAAATTTGGGTTTTATGTAGATTGCGTGTATTGGTGTTATTGTGGAAGTGGTGGGGGAGATTTCGTCGTTTTGTCATTCATCGTACTAACATGCAAACATCGATGTATGCAGACACATATACATACTTAGTAAAGTCGTCGGGACTCATACATATATATAAATACACGCAATTTATAAATTTTTATTTTTTTATATATAGTTTGTATGATATATAAAGCATATATATATATCATAAACTCACATCTATCCAACCAAATATCATTTAGTTTCTGATATTGAGCGCTTTCTAATAAGTACCAGCATATAATATATAAATAATTATACATATATATATATTTATTTATATTCACTTTTCACACACACACATATATATATATATATTGCAACAATAATGCTCTCAGCAGAAAGGCATCATCCTATGTATTATGGTTTAACTCATGCATATATTTTGATAAAATACAAGGAGTACCTAATCATGCAGAACAGTGAATAAAAAAAATAAATGCAAATTTTAAATTTGCTGACAGATGTTTAATAAAAATTAAATATGAATTATCACACCAACTTAATGTGATAATAAATCTTATCTTCAATCTTATTTAAAAAAATTTAATCACTGATAAGTTTTAGTCTAAAATAAATTTCTCAACTAAAAAATTTAATATTTTTTTAAAAAAAAGAATCAAAAAGTGTCTCATTTTTGTTAAAAGAAAAGAGTAAAAGTGCAACAACACAGTAAAAAACCTATCCCTTTTTTTTTTTTTAAGAGATAAGCAATTTCAGCAAACTTTACAATAAATTTTAAAAAATATTAGGAAGTTGAAAGCTAAATAATGCCGATATCCATGCAAACAAAATAACAAGTACTCTAGAAGTCTAGATACCATAGCAAAGAGCTCATCCAAAAAATTACCATGAAATTATTTATAGAATAAGCAGAGAAGCAACTTCATGGTGATGGGAAAGTGACTGAAGCCAAGATGCTAGGTCAGGACCAATAATATTGCAGTTTCTTCTTTAAATTTTATCAAGATTCTCTTTCATATATATATATATATATAAGAGAGATAACTTACGCGATTACTCCACAATTTGATCGTCCAATCAAAAGATGAGGTGATGAAATATGGAGAGAAGTCAATCTGTCCAGGTACGGTATGACAGTCGATACCTGTGACAGGACCTTGATGACCTTCAAATGATTCCGTTATACCAGCTTTACTGGAAAATGCAAATACAGGAGAAAAAGATAAACAAAGTAAAAAAAAATATGAAACATTTAATCTTATAAAAAATAATGTCTAATTAAAGAAAATACAGTAATTATTTATTTGCAAGCAGAAAGTTAAAAACTATTTTGAAATCAGCTAGTGTGCTTCTCATTGCTTTTTCTTCACAATGGAAATCTATTTCTATAAAAGACATCAAACTTCTATATTGTTGTAGGTTCGGGCTGAGCAAAACTTTGACGTTTCATGTGCAATTTATGAAAAAGCAGACAGCTCCTTTTCTTATTACAATTACTAAAAATAAGGAAATAATTAAGCTTGAAATTTCTTAATTAGGAACTGTGACGTGACTGGATTAGAAACACATTTAGGAATGGTTGTCTTGTTCATCTCCAACATATAAAATGACCTTTACAAATGTAGGTTTGATTGTCCCCATCCCCCAATACAAAGACATTTCCCAAAGTAAACAGTAAAATTCAAATGGTGATAAGGACCGTTTTTTTTTTTTTTGCAGTGTTTATGTTTATATTCTTGAGTTACTAAAATTCTACTATGGAATAATAAAATGAAAGACAATCTGCCAAAATTAACCTTCCATGCCGAGAAGCAGTATAAACAGTACAATCTTCACTTCCGACCACAAAATTGTTCACATCTCCAGCCAGAAACGAGAAACATGTTACAGCAACTGCTTTGCTTTGTCTGTGTTGAAGTTCCATACTGTCCTGCAAGTAAAAAAATCAATTGATTTTATATAATGAACTGCTTTAAATATAAAAGCTTCTTTTTTTTTTTCTTTTTTAAAAAGAAGAGGTGAAGATGTACATGCAACAATACAGAAATGTTTTCTTTAAAAGCTACTATTCAGCATTTAAGATTTAATAAATTTTTTTTGACAGAAAATGTGTTAAGAGTTTAAGCATATAATAATAATAATCTATTTGAAGAGAAATCATTTTCATTAAGTTACAACAAAAGTTTCAAAGCAGAGTAAAAGAACTCACTTGAGGTTGGGACAACATATCTAAACTCCAAGAGCAGATCTTGCCATCAGTAGAGACACTGATTAAATTGTGAGCATTTTGTGTGCCAACAACTTTAATACAGTACACTGGATGCTAAAAAGAGAAAACAAGTCAACATAGCTATCAGAAAAATGCTGTGGCTTTTGTAAAAGGCAGTCCTGAGTATTCAAATAAAGTCACACTTCAAACTATTATGTAATGTGGAGAATTTTAAAACCATTTTAGTTAATGGATAAGAGCAAAATGTTGAAAAGCACATCAAATATTCCTTTATCTTTGAAGATTAATTTACTCATCAAAAATCAAATTTTAGAAAAAAAAAGTTTTTTTACAATAAATAAAGCTTTTAAAAGTTTTTTTTTACTGCTTTTAATCTACTGAAATATATTTGAGTAAACTGAAAATACAGAGAAATTAACGGATGAAAATTTCCACATTCATTTGGTTTAAAACTAAATTTTTATGAATAAAAAACGTTTTTTAACAAGATATAAAGGTCATTTTCTTTAATTTATTATCTAATCTTTTAGAAAAAAATAAATTTCACTTACAGTGTGTGCGGCAGCAGAGAGAGGTGTACGTTGCACAGGTGTTCTTTTGTTGACCCTATTATCCCAAAGGACAATTTGTCCTGAATAAGTCCCACCAACAACTAAGTTTGGGTGGAAGTTGGCAAAGCAGCTTGACATTACAGCTGACTAGAAAAACAAATGAAAAAAATGGCAAATTCATTTATGTATGAAAAAAGGATGAAGATTATTCCACACAAGTGAGAAACCTAAGAAAAATTTTGGACATTTTGCAGAAATCATTAAAACCATAATATATTTTCTTAGCAAGACACAAATGCAAGAATGTATTGTTTTTTTTTCTTTTTAAATATTAGTAAACCTTGATTTGACCAGTCTTGATGCAGTGAGGATTAATGTTATTTAAAAAATAACAATTATTTCTCTTTCCTATATAGAAATGAGAGAGAGAGAGAAAAAAAAATAATTGTAGAATTCTTACAGGATCAAAAATGAAAATGTTTAACCCTTTCCAAATTGAATTTATCCCTAAAATTTTGATAGTTTTAAAATAAAATTTGATTCAATCTGTGAGCTATCTTCACAAGTCCTCTGTCCCAAATCTATTCTGTTAAGAATTTGTTCAGGCTATAACAGCAGAAATATTTTTCCTGAAGAATCTCTAGTTTTGGTCATGTCTATGGAAAGTGAATGCAGCAAAAACATCCAGATTTGGCCATTCTGTTTGGAAAGTATTCATTAGCAAGTTCATTAACACAAGACAAATTCTTATTTGAAACTTTATGGTTCATTAGCTAAATACTGATTAAACATTAACAAAATTATTGCAATAGTAAAATGTTATTTACCTGACAATGAAAAATGAACTCTGGAGTGTCTTTTTTAAATTTAGAATTCCATACTAATGCAACTCCATCTGGGTCGTGTGGAGAATCTTCATTAACATTGTAAGATGCAACCAACAGTTCTGGATGCTTAAAAAAATGAAAATAAATAAATACAGATGAGCAGATATATTAAAGTGAAATTCTCCTGAATAGCTGTTCAAAATCTTCATAGTATCAAAAACTTATAATCAAATATAAACCTAACATAATTTGGTAAGGTAACAATATTTTTTAATTTTTTTTTTTTTTTTTTTGGAAGGGAGTGATCTTTTATAAACTGGTTTCATTTTTTTTCATTTACTTTTAATAATTAAGAGCAAATGAAAAAATAAATGCAGTTTTATAAAAAGTAAGAAAGAAAAATTTAATAGACATTTTGAATACATTAAATTATGTTCAGAATAAACAAGCATTCTACCAAATGATACACCAATTCAGTTTCATAAGACGTTTAGGTAGAAAAATATTTTCAGTCTAGTCTTGAATGCAATAAGTTAATATTAACCATAATTAATATGCAGGAGTTTGCATATTAATAATGCAATATAAAATTATGCCTGAAGCTTGAAAAAGGAATTGATATCGATGAAGTATATGCGGTGATTAAAAAGTTCAACTGACCTGTATTGACCAATCTAAGCTAGTTATTGTTCGGTGTTTTGACCACCTCTCATCAAAAAACTGTCTTGTTAACTTTAATCGTTCTCCAGCAAGTTGGTCCCTAAAAATAGGAAAGAAAAAAAAAATGTTGTTGCATTTCAGCAATGATTATATATATATATATATATATATATATATATATATATATAAAAACAATTTCCAATTGAGTAACTTTCCAAACTGAACTGACAATATTTTTAGACATTTTGTTGCCTTTTGGTTCAATCCCAAATTAAAGTTCTCATAAATAAAAATAATTTTAAAGCAATTATAAAATTATTTATTCTGATTCTAACAAAATAAATAAATTGGAGAAGATAATACAAAGAACAAATGTGATTTTTTAAAAAGTTAAACAACTTGCACTGACTGGTCAGGGTTTCTAAACATTAAAAGAAAAAAATCCCATTTTCATAATTTTCTCATCTTTTCATTAAATAAAATTAAAAAAAATCTCCCCCTCCAAATGACACTCACTCGTCTTTTCCTTCATTATCGCCACCAGCATAGTCAACATACACGTCATCATCATTTTCTGCAAGAACGCGTTCCACAATGCGAGTTGTTCGACTGAAAAAGCTTTGGAAATCTTCTGAGATAAGAATTTGCTTCTTTTCATCCTCAGTGAGATCTTTCACTAAAAATTGAAATGGTTAAAACAAAGATGTAAATACATTTAAAATAATTTCTTTATTTTCAACAAAATGATTCAAAATTAGACTTATCAAGAAAAACATCACAGACCTTATTGCCGAATCTAAATTCTTAACTTAGATTTCAGGATCCCAATGAGACAAAATCTACTTTTCAGTAGTTGACATAATATGGAAAATAATTATTATATTGGTAAGATATTGATATAGTGTTTTATTTATTTTTAAACACTTAAAACATTTCAAATTGAAAATAAAATCTTTACAAGATTTAGTAAAAAATGTTAAATAGCTTATTTTTATATGTATTTTTATGACCCAATTACTAAACTCATAATGTTGGGGGAAGCATTACTAATTTTTAATATAAATGACATTGGTTTGAAAGTTTCATGACAATGATAGTGTCGATCACTGAAATTAAATTATAAAAGTTAACAAGTAGCTTACCCCATTTTTCGACTTTTGACTCTTGCTCAATCTCTTGCTGCGTTTTGGCTGGCTGCACCATCTCTACCTGAGGCATCTTGTGTTGGTGAGAGGGGGGCGTGTCACCAGAAGCTTCCACCGAGTCTGTGTCATCATCTGTGTTGCCATTATCGTCATAAACAAGAACTAGATGGTTAATAATTTACAAGGCTGTTCACAGAACAATATCATTGAAGTTTGTGCAGTAGTGCATTTTTCTAAAAAAACTATTTTCTACAAGTTAAGAAATGGACACAAAGATTTTGATAGAGAAGCATGCAGAGAATTGTTTATCAATGTAGAATTTTTATTTTTACATAACCAAAGAACCGTTAAATTTAAGAATAGAACTGACAAATGACAATTACAATAAAACACATTTGCTTTGTGGATGTAGCATTTCTTTGTGGCAGAATAATTCTCAAATTATTTTTAAATGCTTTATTGAATAACAAAACAACACAGAGAAAACAGTCACCAAGAAAAGCTTGGTTTTAGCTAACCAATGATCAAAACTGGTTTGTTATTGAAGAATTTTGTAAAAGACACTTGACTTAAAAGGGAAAAATTGACTAACTAGAAGAAAATAGCTACCATATATACTCACGTATCATGCAACTTTTGAAGACCTAATTTTGAAGCTAATTTTAAGGGGGTTGCATCATACACGAGATATAAAATTAGTTTATGTACTGCTGGCCCTGGCTAAGCTGTTGACCAAACTATATATACATTTACTGTAGTTAAATTAGCTTCAAAATTAGGCTTTCAAAAGTCGGATGATATGCGAGTATATATGGTAATTCCTATTTTTTTAAGATATTTATTTAAAACAAAAGAGAATTCAGAAGAAATATACTCTTTTGTCTTGTGAATTTAAATGATTTCTCAGGAAAAAATAAATCATTTTTTTAAACAGTCTTATCCAATAGATATTTTGGATTATTTTGTTGTAGACAAGTTTTTCTTTTAAAAAATTAATGAACAGATTAGAGTTTTAAATATTGAAGCACAATCAATAATTAATATTCAAGTTAATGAGATGACAAAAAAAAAAAAAATGTAAATAGTTCATAAAAATGTTAATCATTTGGAAGATAATAAAAATTCTCAAAGTGAATAGATTTATCATTTTTTTTTTAATTCTAAGACAACTGTAATTGACAGGAGTTTCTTGAAATTTGATGCGATAAACAATAACTTAATAAGTTTAATACAATTATAACTTTGTAGAATTTGCTTTATTAAAAAAGAAAAGAAAAATAGCTGTGGGGAGTCATCAACCACATTCACACATTAAAATATATAAGGCTCTTAATATTAGAAAAAAACTGTCTTCAGTATTACATAAAAAAAAGTAATAAATAGTGACTTCATAATTTTTACAGGATAATTAAAATGGAAAATAAACAAATTAAATATTCAAAAGGTTCTTTGGCTGGAGTGAAAAATTCTACAAAATCCCTTTTTAGTCTATAGAGTCAAAATAATCAGATTTGGTCATATCGCTTCTTCAAAAAATGACTTGCCAATCCTGAGATTGTAATTGTAATTTATTATAAATACAAAACAATGGGAGGTGAAAGTAAAACAAAAGAGTTAACATTTCACATTTTGTTCAAACTAGCAGAGGCAATAATTCCAGTCAATATGTTAGGTTGAAATCTATCAGTGATAAGTTATTACCATTTTTCATGTTTGCTCAAAATAAATCAATTCATTAAACCATTATGTATTAGGACAATCCAGAAAAAATTTGATATTTTACAATAGATTCTATTTGCAAGTAATAACACTTCATATAAATAAGGATAGACTTAAAATTGTAATTTCAAAAATGACATCTACAAAATTACTTAAATTTAAATTGTAATTTCAAATATATGACATCTACAAAATCACTTAAATTTAAATAATTAGCACTCGTGTATGCAAGTATTTATATTTTTTATTTGCATGCAAATACAACTATTTTTATTATTAATTTCAGTAAATTTTTATTTAGTTCACATATTAAGCTGTTATAAATTATTTAAGAAGTTTTTAAGCATGTATTTAACAATTATTAAAATATATCTATAAAAAATGTCAAACATGTTTTCTTTTTAAGCGATAAACAAAATGAAGATATACTTTAAATGATAAAAGTTACCAAAAGCCAGCAGCCATAAAGTAGATGTCAACAAAACAGAAAACTAACAAAACTAAAAAGAAAACAAAATGAAAAAAAGCAAAACAAAATAAGAATATTATTATTATTATTATTATACCTTCAACTCAATTACTCCTCATTCATTCATTAATAATCATAAATATGTGATTTATTTTATCTTTTCTACATATATATTTTTTTTTATTACTGGAGATCAAATGCATAACGAGGTGGAGTGGGTAGGAATCAAATACAAAATTTCCTGGAAAACATTTTCATTTAAATAAAATGAGATAACGACATAAAATTTACTTTGAATCTGAGATGAAAGCAATATTCAAATTTTCAGATTAAAGTTTTAAAAGCACAAGTGCAATATTTTGGAAGCAAGGAATTTTTCCAAAATAGAAAGACATTTAAACTGAGTTATAAACATCAAATTTAAATGAAATCCATTTTTTTTTAAGAGTTAATAAACAAGTAAAAATAAATCTTATTCATAAATTGAACATTAAAAAAAAAATTTTTTAAATGAATACAGGATTGAGTTGAAAATGGTAATCTTAATTTTTTTTATTTATTTTTTTTTGTACAAAAAAGTGATTATGTTTCCAAAAAAACAATAACTGCATCAAGAATTACAAATTATAATTTAAATGAGTTAATTTAAATGAAAATAGAAATTTAAAAAAATTATAAACAAAAACAGAATTCGGTTGATATCAAATAAGAATTTTTCATTATAGTAAAATAGTTGAAGTTCCTTAAATTTACATGAAGCAATACAAAGAAAAATGCAATACAAAGTGAATATGTGAGAAAGAATCACTGATGATGAGTCAAGCAAAGCATCGAGCAAAGATGAGTTATTGGAATTACAAATACAAAGGTTGATTTAAATTAGATACATTGTTTTTTGCTTTTGTTTGGTTTTTTTTTTTGGCAAGTACATAACTGAAGATGAATGTAAATGTGACATTCTTTAGAAATTCAGTTGCTGGAACCTTTATTGAAAAATTGTTCTCAGCAAGTTCAGTTTCTTGATATAGAGATTTGTATCAGTTGTATATTTTCTATTGAATATTTTCTGTCAACATAATATTTTTTAAATCTCAGGCCTCCTTTAACATTTACCATAATATGTACATTTCCGCAATGTTATCTTTATTTTTAAAAAGATCATCTTACAAATATATTTAAGCAAATGAAATGAACATCAGGTACAAATTTAAATTTATTTTTTAAATCTTAGCATCTTTATAATCATATATGCCTGATGTTTACCAGAAAATATATAAAAGCCTTAAGATTTAGAAAAAAAGATTCATAATCAAACAGATAAAATGTATTTGGCATTAATGGTAACAAAATAAAGATGTTCCAGTTTATGATGATCCGTAATGCCATAAAAGAGCAAGAAATAGAAAATTAAACCATGAAAGCATTATAAAGCAGGGAAAAAAAAAAGGCCAATGATTGAAGCAACAGTGAATAGTCAGCAAGAATATTAACTTTGCTTTTACTGTCTCCCCAAAGAAAAGTATAAATATGGGATGGGGGTTGGACAAGAGTGCTAAGGCACTTTATAGTCAATACTGACCATTTGCACCCTCCCACAATTTTTGTTTTTTAAATAGGATGTGTATGGATACGTGATCTTCAACAACTGCTGATATTCAACATTGAAATGGCCAGGTGGTAAATTTATGCAGGGGCAGATAAAATACAAATTTGCAGGACAACATTTATCACATGTTACCACTAAATGAAGCCAGTGAGGGAATATTTGGCCAATATCACAAATGCTTAAATAATCAAAGAATAAAGTCACATTAATATGTCCAGTTTAATGCATTTCCCAATAGTGTATTTGTGTGTGTGTGTGTGTGTGTGTGTGTGCGCACACACGTGGCAGTGTGGGGAGAACTACATGCATGCACAAATAAAAGGAAGAAGTCACTGATTTACCAAAGACATTACTGACACTACTTACAAAAAAAACTACATCTGAAATTGTTCAAGGTTGAATAGTCAATATGTGTATTTTTGGAATAGTTATGTAAACCAGCTACATAAGAACTTACTGAGTGTAAATTGTATTTTGTAGTCTAATAGGATCATAAGGGTAGAAACTGGACATATTATAAACAAACAGGTGGATCCTTAAGACTTGTGTAGAGAAAGGAAAACATTTCTATTCATCTAGTGTGATAACGACATACAAATACATTTCTCAGGCAATCTCTTTTTTTAAACATCAGAAATATGTAGTCTTGAAAATAATCTGACCTATATCTATTAGTATACTAATCTATTACTTACTGCTACTATAAACAATATAAGCATAGAATTCCAAGCTAATAAATTTCAAAAAGAAAAAAAGAAATTAGCATAAAATTTTGAAATCTTATTTTTATGACTTAAATAAAATTTCTATACATTTTAAGATATGATTTCCTGAATTTTAAATTATATACAAAAGCAATATATAAAAACCAAAGCAGCTTAAATAAACAATTGTAATTTATCATTAATAATAATTCTAATTGTAATGGGAAAATTATTTAGAAAACAAGTGAAATATTGTTTTATAATAGAAGTGTAATGTTAGCTATTAAAATCATTAAGATCATGAAAGTAAAAAAAAAAAATCTAATAAAATGAAAAGGAATAAAAGCTTAGTTTATATGAATTGAATTTTAAAGTACATAATTGAAGGAAATAAACAAACTGAAACAATTTTTTGGAAAAGAAAAAGAACTTATATTAGCAAATATAAGTTTATGACTTTAAAATCTAAATATTTATAAATAAGCCTTAATAAAAACTGAGAGTAATTAGCTAATTCTTTTGATAACCTGAAAAGTAAAGAATCCAGGTGAAGTGATAATAATCAATAGTTGGTAATCACAGTTGGGATTCCTGAACATAAACTTATATAAACATCAGATCTATCCACGTTTGA